AAGATATAATGCTTGGAATCGATAATACAAGTTTTTCTGTTGTTTTTTTTCGTTTTTCCACATTACGATTATTTTACCCATTCAATTTAATTTAAAGTATATGTTTGATGGTTTTATCCATTTAATAACTAATAAATACGTGTTTTATTAAATGTTGAATATGTTTAATAAAATGCAAGGATAAATCGTACCGTTTGATTGTTAAATTATTCCAAAATTAAAATATAAAAAAAAAATTGTACCTTTCAAAACACAGGTTAAAGTGAAAAAACTTGAATGTCAAAACAATTAATGAAATTGTATATCTCAAAAACTTCAATCTTCATCCTAATTAGATTCAACCTTATTAAACACTACAAAACTAAATTTGAATTTCAAATTCATCGCGACAATACGAAGATCCTATTAAGAGCTTAGATTTTCCCGGTGGGTAACAATGGGGAAGCTGGAATTGGAAAGGGCACGATAACTTAGAAGATTTCCAATTTTCCGGATCTTTGACAACTCCCCCAAGTTTCCCCCTCCCCTCTCTAGTTTTCTATCTGGAAAAGATTAAAATCATTCCAGGGTGATATAGAAATCGTTCCAAAGATCAATTATTTAAAAAAAATTGCATAGTGTATACAAAAGTTTCGAAATGTTTATTTCCTCCTTCGTTCTAATGTCAATTTGAAAGAAGTATAATTTTTTTTGTTTGGCATTACAGACATTGTATATCTTATAATAGTATAAAAATATATTATTTTTAATTTCACACACAAAATTCAGGGAATTTACCTATTTTTGCATAAATCGTTTCTATATTTCATATTCAAGTATCAAGGAACAAAAATGTGGAATTAAAATTCTTTGAGTATATGTCGACAAGGAACAGCTGTCTAGCTACCATCTACAGGTTCTACCATGGAATCATTTCATGTTTTCCTCGAATTGAAGTGCTTGGAAGGACATCGATGGACATTACCGAATTGTGTCAGAAAACAAACAAAAACTGCAGCAGTGGTATCATTAAACCCTTGGATTAAACCAGCGTTAAACTTAGTTTTTGTCTTGCAAATCAAGTTTTCAACAAGTTATAAATTAATTATCAGATTTTAAAAATTATAAATCACACAAATAAAATTTTGAATTTTCTATGGCGCATTCATTCAATCAGTCATGATCATTCATTCTGTATGCTGGGCAGACTGCCAGGGCAAAGGGCATAGTGAATGTTGTGACATGATCTCATTCTAATGCATGGTTTGAAATTTGCATATAAACTGCATCTACCATCGATATATTAGGTCATAATGTAATTACGTCTCTGATCCAACAGATTAAGCCATTCGGAATTGAATAATAAGGTACATGATATTGTTATTGAACCTGTGTCTTTAAAATTAAAAAAAAAAATATTCTTTATGGATTGATGGTTGACAGTAGTGAATAACTGAAGAGAAGAATGTTTGGGTGATAAGTAAAAAATAAATAAATAAATAATAAATATACTTATTTATTTATTACTTTTTTTGACTGATCTTCCAAACCATTCTTCTCTTCATATATTTCGTTTGTTTAGAAAAAAGAGTCCAATTCGAAATTTTTCAATTAACTTTCTATCTGTCTTCTATATTCACCTTCATTTTTAAGAAAAAAAAAATCAGATATATAATTAAAATTTTAACCGCAATAATAATTTATTTTAGTTTTCTAATAAAAAAAAAGGAATTGTAAATAAGTATGAATGTGTTTTTATTTTTTTATTAAATGTTGTCTCATGTTTGATTTATTCTGTTATTCCAAGTTTTCTTTTCTTTTATTTTGTTATAATCTTGTTTTTCTTTTATTGTATATATGGTATGTCTGTGTTTCATTCATTCTAAATACTCAATGCCCTTAATTGAGGCAAAATGTATTTTTTTTCTCAATAAAATATTATTATTGAAAATTTAATATTTAAAAAAAAATTAAAAGAAAAAAGATTTCACGATAAATTACACGGATGTTCTAACACACTTCGACAAAATACGGCTGCGATTAACATCCCCGATAGCACACTTATAAGGCCCAAAAGGAGCTGGATGAGGGATCTCGCTTAAAAAGTATACTAAAATCAAGATAGGAAGCGATGGCACTGGGTAGTCATTTCCCTCACGCCTATCAATCAATAATCAATAAATCAAACTTATTTATTGACCTTACTAGTGTTATTCTTCTCAACAACAGACTAGTAGTCAGTATTTTTGACAGATGTGGGTGAAGGAATAAAATTACAAAAAAAAAAAAACAGACATTTTTAAACAAAAAATGTAAGATTTATTTATTAAAAAATAAATAAGTCCAGTTTAACATTTTATAGTGAGTTAGGGACAACGAAAAACGTAAATATGCAAACTTTTCCTGTAATATTCAACTTTTTCAAATGTGTGCTACTCTTTTTTTTTTTTTTTTTTTTTTTTTTTTCCTTTTTCTCGCCTCTACTCTAAAGGGTCATTGGCGTTTTCTATGATTTATACTCTGTTATAGTAGTTTACAATTTTTAAAAATTTTAACACGATCGAGGCTCTTTCTTCATTATCTTGGAGTATTTCGTTTAGTGTTTTTCCTAGTTCTATTTTCTCTTTGTGCCTTTCGAATTGGGGACATTCTACCAGAAGGTGTTTCACAGTTTGCGGTGTATTATTGCATTTTTCGCAAGTAGGAGCTTCTAGATCTCTTAAAAGATAACTATGAGTGAACTGGCAGTGCCAAATCCTAAGGTGGCACTGTATAATTTCTTCACGCCTGGATCTTCTGTTGCTAGTGAGCAATTTATCGCAAGTGGGTTTCACTTCTTTCAGCTTACACTCTTTGATCCTCCACTCTTTTTCCCACTCTGCCAGTTGTTTTTTCTTTATTTCGTGTACTCAGTCTTCTAAAGTGATATATTTCACTCTAGTCACTTCCTCTTCTTCTCCTCCACTTCTTGCTAAATGGGCTGTATTGTCAGCATTTTCATTTCCTAAAATTCCGCAATGAGCTGGTACCCATACCAATACAACTGTTATTCCTTTATTTTTTAGATCCCACCAGATATTGAGTATTTCCCTAATTATGGAGTTTTTAGGATAGTTAAAACACTGTATGGGTCCGTCACAATTACCCAGTAGTTCTTTTTAGTTTCGCTTATAAGATATAAAGCATTCATGATGGCAGTGGCCTCTCCTGTGAATACTGAACATTCTCCAGGTAATTTAAACAGTAATTGTTTTTCTTTACTAGCTAAACCACATCCTACGCTATCTCCTTCTTTGGATGCATCCGTATATATAAAATCGAAATTTTTATATTGTTCCGTTAGCTTTAAAAAAGATTTTTGTATTTCAAGCGGATATGCATTTGCAATTTTAGTCATAGATTTATTAATAAATGGTCTGTCTTTTTTCCAACGGGGCATTTTTAATTCTGGGATGGGTCTTATAATGGTCGTATCCATGTTTATTTTAGTTGTTGCATTGTAAATTACGTTTGCTACTCTGCTTCCAAAAGAACTAATTATATTACCTAATCTTTAAAAACATGTCATGGATGTCGGTTTTCAATATTTATCAATTTTTTTTAGAAAATGTAGTCACTTAATTGGAAAGAAATAATTCGATATAATAATAATAAATAGTGATAGTGGAATAGAATGTAGCACAACTATATCGCCAGATCGTTACGCGATATGTAATGTATGCTAGAGCCTTAAATACTTACCAATTTTTTTTTTCACAAGACTTTTAGCGCATCAAACAATTCATAATAATTTTAGATGGCACTAAGTCTTATATACTATAAATCCATTTATATTAGAGAGATTTATAGTTTATCATAACAATTTTACCAGGGATATTCATAAATTTCTCAACAAAACAGGATAAGCTTTACTTCGAAAACACTCCCAGATAAATCTCCAATCAGATGAAATCCATTCGATGGAGTGGCTTTTAACAATTTTCCACAAAAAACGTTCCATCACTGTCGCTGACAGCCGATAACTGATACCAGATGGATGTTAAAACCGTATTGACAACCAATTTTTTTCTATAACCTATGTTTGCCATTAAATAACAAAAAAAAATTACAGCGAAGTAAATTAATATATTGAAGCTACTTACTATTTCTCTCGGATGCATTAAAACAAACAAATGTATAAGGAGAAAAAAATAATATGTATTTATGGAATTTTCATGGAGCCTAATACAGGCTCGGGACTAGAATAAGTTGGGCGGGAGTAAGTCACGTGTCAGCGATGATAGTGGAAGTAATCCTGCGCTTCTTTTCAAACTCAAGACCAATCCGGCACATAAGAACTATCTCATCCTTCAATCTTTCCTTATGGGCAGAATTTCCGCTATCTGACAGGACTCAGAAATTTCTGTAGTTCGAACAGTCTTAAAAATAATACCGCAAGGATCAATATTGGCTCCATTTCTATGGATTATATACACATGGCCTCTCTACCAACTCCGAGATGTAGATGTCTGATCATAAAATAATTTTAAATATACCTCAAATAGACTGGTTTTACAAAATTCTTACTAACTCTGAAAAAAATGAAATTATATTACTTAAAATGATAACATATAACGTTTAAACTTTGACGATACAAGCATCTACCAATTTATTTTTCCGTCATACACTACACATTCCTCAAAGTACCTTGGCGTAAAATTCAACAAACGATTGAACTTATTTTCCTCCTTTTTCCAAATTATCAAAACTAATTAAAGTACTATCAAATCCAAAGTACATAAACATTATGGACTTACATCTACTTACTTACAGGTCAGTAAAGAGACTGAGGAGTCTAGGCTCAGAGGAAGGAGGTGCAGTTGGATTTTTACATATCACATTTGCTGATTTTTGCTAACATATAATGCCAATAAAAAGATAAAGTTAAAAAAAAATCTTGTGCCAAACTTTTGAGTTGATTGTACTGTTTTGCTTAAATTTCTTAAATATCTTGACTTAACAAATACTTATTTTTTTAACAGATAAAGCTCAAGATGGATCCCAGAGAGGAGACAGCCCACGCAGCTTTGGGCTCTGTAGGACCATGGCAGGTAAACATTTATTTATTAACATATATCTAATACTATAATTTATTTTATTACATTAATACTCAAAAAAAAAGAAAAAATAGTGAATTTACATAATTACAAATTTAAAAATTATCGAATACAGTAGGGTGAGCGCACCAGTGATAGACATAACTAAGGAAGTTTTTTTTTTTTTTGCTTATGTCGCCGTAATTATTATAGTTATAAACTACTCAGTTGGACATTTAAAATCTCTAGGATCTCCTTTCCTATTTAGGACTTTAAAATTGAAAAATATTCAGTTATGCAGGTATAATCTCAATATATATATATATATATATATATATATATATATATATATATATATATATATATATATATATTACATACTTCACCGAAAAATACTTCTCTTTCAAGATGGTGTCTGAATGACCTGTGTCATATAGACTGTAGCGCCCAAAACCAATGTACCGATTTTAATGAAACTTAGCTAAAGTTTTCTCCTCGAAGCCCTTTAAATTTATTTATATAACATGCATTACCCAAAAGAAACTAATTCAAAAATTTCCGTATAATTCAAAAAGTATACACTTTTTTTATTCCTCATCCTTTTTTTTTCACACGGATTAGGTTAAGCACACCAGTGACGAACATAGCTAAGGATTTTTTTGCTTATGTCGCCGTAATTATTATAGTTATAAACTACTCAGTTGGACATTTAAAATCTTGAAGGCCTCGATTCCTATTAAGGACTTTAAAATTGAAAAAATATTTAGTTATGCAGATATAATCTTTATTTAAAAAAAAAAAATCACCTTTTTGCACTAGTGATGGACACTCCGAAATTCAATTGTTCTGGACAGGGGCTCGGTATCTACATATACATATCTCAGAAAAATTCTAAATTTTTATTTATCTATAAAGATAACGATAAAATAAGACTTCAACTTACTCTTAGCAAAACTGTTAGTAGGAACGTATGAAACACACTGATCTCATGAGAACTATAGAAACAACAATGATAGGCATTTGAATTTTTTTTTTTTTTTGGTACTTTGTTCATACAGTTGACAATAGAGTAAATTGTTCTCCAATAAAAAAATAAAAAACTGGAACCTTTAAATTAACAAGGAAGGTTATTATTTAAAGTCCAACCTGTCCATCACTGGTGCGTTCACCCTAATTATTTTATTTTATTATAATTGATTATTAATTTAATATAGGCATACAATTATTTTTTTATTTTATTTTTTTTTTAAATTCCATAATGAAATCTAAATAACTGATGGAGTGATTTACAATGAATTCTTTCCAATATCTGCCATGCCATATCAATCGAATTTGATTGAAACTATTATGACAAGAGGGCATTAACAAAACACTTTTTTTTTAAACTTGATAATTTGTCTATTAACTTGTCAGCAATTCTTAAATATAATAAAATGTTAAGAAATTTATTGAGTAAAACTATATAATATTGAGTAAAACGTGAAAGCCCAATAGCGTTAAATCTGTTTCGTTCAGGAAATACCGTTACTAATAAAAAATTTGAGTAATCCGATTTCATATTTTTGCAATATCTCAGGGAGAATATCTCAACACTCAAATAAATATTTTAGAATTTCATTCTCCCAAATGCTTCAATCACACATCATAAATCTAGAAGAATGGTGTCAAAACTGGAGAATTAAAATAAACTCCAATAAATCCCACCAAATTACCTTTACCCTTCGTCGTAAACCAACGACTTCCTGTCCTACAGTTTCCTTTAACAATACTCCACTTATCCCTGTTGAGCAAATCCGATACCTAGGACTCCACCTGGACAAACGACTAACTTGGAATCCTCATACTAGACTGAAACGACAAGAAACCGCTCGACGTTTCCGATTACTTCAGCACATACTAGACAAACGCTCTAAACTTTCCATTAATTACAAAAGACTTATATACTTGACTATAATAAGACCTATTTGGACTTACGGAGTTGAGCTATGGGGCTCCACTAAACCATCGAATTCCTCTCGCATCCAATCCTTACAATCCAAAATCCTTCGTAAAATCCTCAATGCTCCTTACTTTGTCACTAATAAAATTATCCATAAAGATCTTAATGTTCCTCATGTTTCAGATTTGGCCCAATCCAGATACCTATCCTTCCATAATAAACTTCAGAATCATCCCAATCCTCTCGTTTGTAACCTTGCTTCCTCTTCAATTCCTGATAACCCTCTGAGGCGTCTGAAAAGAAGATGGCCCCGTGATCTCCTAATGTAGTCATATCATTAGAGTGCTACCATTGGGTAGTTACTCAGCAAGTGTATTCATGTCATTATATCAATGATGTCCAAATTTACTTGATGTATTTATGTAATACAGTTGTAAATGTCATAAAGAAATAAAAAAAAAAAAAGAATTTCATTCAGAGTTACAAATATTTTTTTTTACAGTTCATATATGTACAAAAAAATATATGTATCAAGTAATAAAATTATAAAGTAAATAACATCTGTCAGGAAAAACCCAGCGGAAATCCGGATTCTATTACTCTTGATAAATTGGGCAACTTGAGAAGTTAGAATAAGTTTAAGATTAAATTCTCGAAAGCTTTTAAATTAAAAAAAAAAAAAAAAGAAATGAGAAATAGGTTTTCGGTAAATTTATACAGCTCGTTTATTTCTTAACTCAATTCCATCTAAATAAGAATTTATTCTTAAACTATTTGTTGCTTGAAAGCTGTTAAAGCTTTCTTAAAATCGGGGGATATTTAATTTACTCCTTTAGATTTCTTTAGCAAAGTGTAATAACTTCTTACATTTTTTATACTTGCATTATGAAAAAATAGTAATAACAATAATTGAAGATATATGTGGATAAAATAAATTAAAATTAAAATTTTTGGGTAACTAATAAATATATTTTTAACAGAAAAACCTATCTAATCTACCGTTGTAAAATTATGCTAAAAAATCAGATTGTTACGAAGAGAAACAAATAAGTCTAGATATCAGTTACCTATCAAATGTTAATACTATGAAATTTCAAACTTGAGATAGTTAGCAAAACGAACTAGACCAAGACTAGCAAGGGGGGGAGGAGGGGAGGTACAATCAGTAGGTCCCGATTAAAACTTAATTTTTTTCAATGGCACTTCATCAATATACTAAAATATTGGACACATGTCCCGTCGTCCGTTCCAATGAACCGTAGGAGCTGAGAAAACAAAAGTTTTTAACAATTTTTAATAAATTATTTTAAAAAATATAAGGTTATTATTTATTAATCGATTTCTTTTTCGCATAGAATAAGAAAAAAATATTAATAATTGTATTAAATGCATCATAAATTATAAAAACCAAAAGACGCTACCAGTAAAATAGGCAAAGTAATTTTTCGTTACCAAAAATTTTGTGCAGAAAAGTTTGATTTTTTTATTGCTTTTTTTAAAAATTATGCCTGTCTTTGTTGGCTTCCACCATTAGAGATCTTGCAGCCCAATACCATTCCGATTTAAACAACGTGGTATCTTATTACCAACAAGCGCGAGAACACATCTAAATGCGCTGCGTCCATATGTGTTCCCGAATTACATAGATTGCAATGGAGAGTCTGCAACTATTATTCTATGCAGGTGCTTCCTAAAGTAGTCGTGGCCTGTTATCATCCAGAACTCTACTTTATTAGCTTCCTTTCTCGGCAGGTTCATAGGAATTCGATCTGCTTCATTAAGCAATTTTTTGATTGGTACAAAAATTCTTATTTAAGAGTTTTTTGAGGTGTGAAAAACGAATATCAACTTTTTTTCTCCCTAAAAAATATTTAATCTAGATACCAGGCAGCTTTTGAATGAATAATATATTTGTCAGGTAGCTGTAATAAGGCCACAATTTGGACTATTGACGTAGAAATGTGGGAGTAATTATTTCTTTAGGGAGAAACGAAGTTGATATTCGTTTTTCGCGGATCAAAAATCGTTTATAGCAACCAAAAAATTTAAATTTTATATTTAAAAAAAAATTAACTGTACAGTTGTAACATCTCACTGTTCGTACTGCATGTATTCTAGCCGATTGATTCCGGAATAAAACCTGTTCGTTCCTTATTTTTGCGAATAAAAGAATATTATATTACTCAATAAATAACGTACTCAGTAATAATGTACTCCCCACCCCCTCCAACTTCATTATCTACTTTAGACAGAAGTAATATAATTATTCACACTTTTTCCTGCGAGATTTTAATTTTTTTTTTCTGATTAACACACCTGAAACTCTCATAGCGCCGTCCTAAACTGTCGAGGAGGGGAAATTACACTTGCAAACTTGCACAAACTTTGTAAGTTAATTGGACCGAAAAGTTAGGGGACGTTAGGTCATTTCCATTATTAACATGTTGATTAAACCCTCTAAAATCCACATGCAGGCTGATTTGCTTACATTTACTCTTATCTCTTTTAATTACGGAAAAACCCGTGTGCAGAATAAGGCCTAAATTTCCTTATTTAATTTTTAAGATAATTTTTAAAATGTCGTACTATATTTTAAAAAAAGATCTATCTCTTAAAAAATGTATTACTCCGCCAGTTATAATCCGGTAAACTTTTACTTTTTATCTTTCTGAAGTCCTTTAATCTTTCAGGCTGTTTAGCTCCTCTTTCTCGGTCCCTTTTCTCTGACGATGATTTTTTTTTTTTTATTTCCTCAGCTGTAAACTTTAATTAATTTTTTTTTCAAACAACCGATCCAGAATATATTTTTTGCGAAATTGAAGTTTATGAATAATTATTATATTGACTTAACACTTTCGAATTGACTCGAATTAGTTTGTCCAGCATTAATTAGTTCATTCAGGTCGTGTTTCCTCAGACTTCTATACATATTTTTTCAGCTTTCAGTAATTTTAGTTTGCATGTTATTTTGCTTGTTTTATTTTTTTTGGTCTATAAAAACGTATTTGCGCCTTTCAACTTATTGTTGACAATCAGCAAATGTGATGGCGATACAGGAAATAACGAAATGACAGGC